TAACTAGCAGGCACGGAGGGAGGAGGCGGGCCTGCCCGTCAGCAGGCCGCTGGACCTGATGTGCCGGTGGTCAGAGTTCCGCCTAACTTGCAGGCACGGAGGGAGGGGGCGTTGTAAATACTTTTTAATATTGTGTAAGTAACTAGTAATAACAGTAAAAATATTCCTTTATTTATTTATTTATTTAATTATTTATTTATTTTGCAGTATGGGAGATTGAATACAGTGCCTTGCACTGAGCTTGCACTAAGCAAGCTCTATCACTGAATCATACTCCTACCCTGATTCTTTTAAAAAATCTCTTCAAAAAAGGTAGTCAGTAAATACTTTTTAAAATCCTTCTTTAAAAAATTCCAGCCGGGCACAGTGGCACATGCCTGTAATCCCAGCAGCTTCGGAGGCTGGGGCATGGGGATCGCAAGTTCAAAGCCAGCCTTAGTAAAAGTGAGGCGCTAAGCAATTCAGTAGACCCTGTCTCTAAATAAAATATAAAAAAGGTCTGGGGATGTGGCTCACTGGTTAAGTGCCCTGAGTTCAATCCCCAGTAAACAAAAAGAAAAAGAAAGAAAGAAAGGAAATTTCCAGGCCTTTTTTTTAGATAAAGAAAAGGAACATCCAACCTATTTCTAGTGTAATGACAGTTTCCCACTTGCAGGGCCAACAGGGGTCTTACCCCATTGCCTCTCCTCTCTTCAGGTCAAGTAAACTGAGCTAATTGTGGGTAGGAAGGTGGTTAAAGGACTCCTCTGGTGGGCTATGGGGGGCTGACTGTGGCATGATGGGATGGGCTTGGTCAGTGGTCCTGTGTAGGAACTAGACAGGCCATTATAGGAAAAAGCATAAAGTGTAGCACATGGTAGGCATTGAATAAACTGTAGTTATGATTATTTTCACACTGTTATTTTTGAAAGCATTCATACACTGGAAATCCCAGGCCAATGCAAATGCTAGTGCATATGAGAATGGAAATTAGCTCTCAGAGAACAGGGGCCAAATGGCAGGCACAATGGGATTATATTTACTATCATATCCCTGGTCCTAGCAAAATACCTGGTACATAGTAGGTATTCAATAAATGTTTGACTAAATAAATAAATAAATAAAATCGAGCCCAAACTGTTTATCTCTCCAGCGATATAGTATAACGTGTTTTAAAAACACTCTTGAGCCAGGTACAGTGGTGCATGCTTGTTATCGCAGCTACTCTGGAAGCTGAGGCAGGAGGATTGCAAATTCAAGGCCAGTCTGGTACAATTTGTCTCAAGATAAAAAATTAAAGGGGTGGGAATATAGCTCAGAGGAAGAGTGCCCCTGGATTTCATTCCCAATACTGCAAAAAACACCAAACTTGGACTCTAATCAGACTTTTGGTTCATAGCCTGGTATTGACTAGCTGGAAGACTTTGGGAAAGCTCCTTAACTATCTATACCTCAGTTTCTTCATCTAAAAAAAGGGGGAGGATGATAATAAAAGTAACTCCCTCCAAAGATTGTGGTGATGTTTAAATGAGTTGATACAGAAGATAAAGTTGCCCAGGCTGGCATCACACTTGTGATTCTCATGCCTCTGCCTCCAGAGCAGCTGGGATTACTGGCCTGGGCCACCACTTAGGGCAAATATTTGCATTTTAAAAGAGACTATGACATCTGATTCAAATGTATGATATGTCAAGATCATTGTACTGTCATGTGAAACTAATTAAAACAAATTAAAAAAATAAAAAAGAGAGACTATGAATGAGATGACTTGAGTTTAGCTCAAAGGATTAATTATTAATGAGTAAATTCCAGGATCTTTTAAAATTTACCAAAAAAGGCAATGTCAATGCTAATCTCAGTTCACCAAGAGAAGATTTAGGGAAATTTGATGAGCAGAGTAGTTCTGGGTCCCAGGTAGCAAAATTCTTAATTTCTCTATGGCATTTCCTGCAAGAAGATGGAACTGGAGACTATCATGCTAAGTGAAATAAGCCATTCCCAAAAAACCAAAGGCCGAATATTCTCTCTGATACGTGGATGCTAACACAAAATAAGGGGATGGGGGAATAGAAATTCATTGGATTAGACAAAGGAGAATGAAGGGAATGGAGTAGGGATGGGAATAGGAAAGATAATAGAATGAATTGGGCATAACTTTCTTATATTAATATATGAATACATGACCAGTTCACTTCACATCATGTACAATCACAAGAATGGGAAGTTACCCTCCATGTACGCATGATATGTCAAAATACACTCCATTGTCATGTATATCTAAAAAGAACAAATTTTAAAAATCATTTTAAAAATTCCTAATTTCTGTTTCTTAGCAAGGAGCTGCTAGGGGATCACCACCCAAAGTGTCTTGTTCATAGCGGAAGGGAGGAGGTGGCTCAAAGTGATGCTGGTTCTACCTCCCTCTAACGCAGCCTGTACCTTCCTGTTGGCTCAAGACCTGAGAAATTTTCATAACCAAACTCTCGCATAGTCGGGAATACTTCCGCTGCTGACTGAAATCTAGAAGTGAGCACATTTTCATTAAGTGAATAGATCAGACATGACCAATATCAGAAGTTAGGAAGTAGAATAGAGAAGTGCTCTTCACCATTAATCCTGCTTATAATAAAATAGGTTGCATGATTGTATCAGTCTGGGTTCAATCACAGAAGTTGAAATCCTATGAGTATTGTAAAATCAAGACTGTATTAGAGGAATTAGACCTTACACTACCGCAGGAGAGCCTGGGAAAGCACAGATCTGAAGGGGGAAGTTGAAGGATCAGAGAAGAGTCACGAGTGATCCTAAATGCTGGTAAATGAGCTGAAACTTGCAGAGAAATCTGGAAGCAGCTGGAGTGACACCACAAAGCGGGTTGGTGTTCGTGGTGGACCCTGTGGATTTGAAGCAAGTGTCAGTTGGTGGGCTTTGGGCTCACTACTGGTCAGCAGGGTTGGCAATTAGGGAAAAGAGCAAGAAGGAGAGCTGGTCACCAAGAGGGGAGCCTACCTGTAGTTCTCTACTGCTGTCTCTCATCTCCTCTAATGTATTATGACCTTCAGACTTGATGACTGCTGCTTGGGTCCCCTCATCTCACTCAGCTTCAACTTTGAGACTTCAAGGCAAGAGGATTTTGTGAGACAGAATTTCCGACATTGCCAAGTTGATGCTATCACATTATTATAATGATGTACTATCATTGATGGTTGCTTTAGTTTATTTACATATTTATAAATTTGTACCTTGCCTCATATATAAAATAACTTCTTTTTTCCCTTTTATTTCTTCCTTTCTTTTCTTTTTTAGTATTGTGGATTAAACCCAGAGATGCTCTACTATTGAGTTATATCCCCAGTCCTTTTTATTTTTATTTGAGATAGAGTGTTGAGAGCCACAGCCAAAGGGGCCCCAGCAAACTTCCAGCTGCCAGCAAGCTTCAGACAGCCCAATGAACATCACCGCAGAGGAGCCAATCAGCTAGATGTTGCTGGGGC